CCGGTCTGTGACATTGTTTGGCTGAAAAAGCGGCACGTGACCTCGCCATTTGTGAAAGGACAAGAGTAAAGGTTTCAATTTAGCAATGAGAGAACAAAATTGCACGACAGAGAAGAATGGGAGTGAGACTTTTCCTAACTCTGTAGCCTCTATGGGATAAATACAGACGTCTCCGTACCGATCCCTCAGACTCTACTAAGTTTGTATGTGAATTGTGAGACCTATGTAACCTAGAGCTCTGATACCAACTTGTCACGACCCGGATTTCCCACCCTCGGGAGTCGTGATGGCATCTACTAGTGAAAGCTAGGCAAGCCAACCAATTGAACTATCTACCTTATTTCCATTTTTAACCCGATAACGGTTAAGAGCCAACAATTAGATACCAATAGAATTGAATAAGCGGAAGACTGCATTGTAGAGATTTAATAATACTGCTAATAGCAAACCATAACAAATCTACCCAAGACTGGTGTCACAACTTCACAGACTGTCTAGGAGTACTACAAATAAAGGTCTGAAATAAATAAATACAATACTGTCTCTGGAAATACATGAAAGAAACAGGAATAGTAGACAGAAGGAGACGCGCCAAAGCCTGCAGACGCCTGCAAGACTACCTCAGATCTCCTGATGAACAAGAAAACAACAATCTCACTGCGGTCCGAAGTCTACAANTCTCGTTGCAGGCATGCCACCCGCTCCCATTTCATGTATCTCGTTGCAGGCGTACCACTCACTCCTATTTTATTTATCTCGTGGTAGGCGTACCACCCGCTCCCATTTTATTATATATCTTGTGGTAGGCATACCACCCGCTCCCATTTCATTATATATCTTGTGGTAGGCGTACCACCCGCTCCCAGTTACAAGCCAACAATAATCACAAGGAATCGCGGCAAGGGAACAAGAGCAATATAACAACTTTCTGGCAAGGGAATAATAATATTTCAACAACATCCCGGCAAGGGAACAATACTATCANTTACCTCGCGAATTCGTGCCCGAAATTCTCAAATCTAGTCATAAACAATTCGATTCAGTCAATAAAAAATATAGGAATTAATTTCATATGAAATTCTACATTTTCCATTAAAAATCCGAAATTGCACTAAATATTTGCCCGTGGGGCCCACGTCTCGGAACTCGACAAAAATTACGGAATATGAAACCTCATCCATNGTAGAGTACAACTTCCAACCCAATTAGGAAATCAATAAGAAAATATGAAGTTATTTTTAGAAATCATTTGATAAAGAAGATACCCTTTTCAATTAAAGTATAATATCGAATGAACNTTCATAGATTTAATACCAAAACTAGTAATAGATTCGGGTAATCTAACCAAAATTAAGTTAAGAACACTTACCCCGTTGTTTTCTCTTAAAATCTCCCGAAAATTGCCTCTTTCCGAGCTCCAATTTGACAAAAATGAAAAATGGGGAAATAAACATTCTGTCCGGAATTCGGGGGACTGTTCACGCGTTTTTACTGTTCACGGGGTACTGTACACGGTACTGTTCACTAGTACTATACACGATACTGTTTATGGGGTACTGTACACGGTACTGTTCATGGGGTACTGTACACTGTACTATTCATGGGGTACTGTACACGTACTGTTCATGGGGTACTGTACACGGTATTGTTCACATGCTGTAAAAGAAAATTCAGCAGCCTTTTTATATCCGTTAACCTTTCAAAATCCACCCGAGGCCCTCGGAACCTCAACAAATTACACCAACAAGTCCTAAAACATAATACAGACTTAGTCGAAATCTCAAATCGCATCAAACAATGCTAAAATCGTGAATCACACCTCCATTCAAGCCTAATGAAGCTAAGAACATCCAACTTCTATATTCGATGCAAAAACCTATCAAATCAAGTCTGATTGACTTCAAATTTTGCACACAAGTCATAAATGATATAACAAAGCTAGGAAAATTTTTAGAACTAGATTCCGATCCCGATATCAAAAAGTCAACTCTCTGGTCAAACCTAAGAAATCTTTAACCTTAGATTTCTAGATTACATTAAATGGCGATAACTTAATCTAGGGACCTCCAAATTCTATTTCGGGCATATGACCAAGTCCCAAATTACGATACGGAACTACCGGAATGGTCAAAACTTTTATCCGGGTTCGTTTGCTCAAAATATTGATCGAAGTCAACTTAGTTGAGTTTTAAAGCTCTAGTTCACAATTTTATCCATTTTTCACATAAAAACCTTTCGGAAAATTATACGGACTGCGCGCGCAAGTCAAGGAATTATTGATACCTCTTTTAAGGTCTTAAAAATACCGAGATGATTATTTAATTTAAAGATGACATTTTGGGTCATCACAAAAATAGGGGTAGTTTTTTTCCAAAGTATGACGGTAGGGGTATGGATAGCCCAATAGTATCGAAGGGTACATGTAAATAATAGTTGAAAGTAGAGGGGTATATTTGGCCCTTTACCGAAAAAAGGGTAGTAGTAAATGGAAAAATAGAGAGGCAATTTTTTTGGTATCTTTCTTTACGGCAAAGGGTCAAATATATCCTTGTACTACGAAAAAGGTCTAGATATACCATTCGTTATACTTTGGGTCCAAATATATTTTTGCCGTAATACTATTGGTTCAAATATACCCTTCTTTTGTTAAGTTTTTCCAAGGTGCAATCCTACGTGGGAAATTTTAGTGGTGGAAAAAAAATAGAAGGGAGGGGTAAAATGAGTTAGGGGCACTGAGGTGGAAAGCCATATAGCATTCACCTCATCAAATGTCAGCGCCACGTTTGATTGGATGTTCACTTTGGACATACTTAATGGAAAAGAGATATATTTGAACCAATAATATAATGACAGAGATATATATAGACTCAAAGTATAACGAGGGGTACATTTAAACCTTTTCTAATAGTAATGCTGTATATTTGGCTCTTTTCCGCTTTCTTTATCCATGGAAATGATAGCACTTAAAAAACATAGGTTTATATGCTATCATTGTCACGCCTGGTCGCTAATTAAATGGTACATTTCATCATCCCCATTTCTTGGTTCAAAGTTCTCTCAATTTCTGAAAGCAATATCAGAACAACCCCACATTTCTTGTGGTCCTATACTTATTGCTAGATAGTCCAAACCCCTTCCCCTGGTCAGCCTATTTAGGGCTTGTGAATGAGGGTTGAAAATGGTAGAGAGCATTTGTAAAGGCGGCATGCATATATAGAAAAGATTAAAGAGAGAGTTAGTGCCTTGCAAAGAGGATTCTTACAGTTGTGGAAAAGGACTATCACCATTTCAAGAATACTCTCACTATGAAGAAGACGAAAGATCATATTGACATGAATATAATATAAAAAAAAACAAAGAAAATTGTAAGTGCGTTGAGATGGATGAAATCTATATGTCCACTCTTAACCAGCAATCTCATATTTAAATTTTGAGAATGGAGAAAAAAATTCTGATAGTAAATTAATGGGTCATACATGACATGAATTTGAATTAATCTAGTCTATTTAAACCAAAAATGGATAAGAATAGAGCAGATAGACAAAAAAGAGACTCATTGGCTAGGGTTTCAAAGGGAGTTCTCAGTTCTCTTGAACATAAGTACAAGCACAAAGCCAATTTCCATTGACTAAAAATGAATAAGATGTGGGGTGTGGGGTGTGGGAAGGTGAGGAGGCATGTGGTTGGAGATGCTAAACCTCTAAGTTATTTGTCTCCAAACATCTAAATCCATCTTTATCACTTTTGGAGACGGAGTCAAAATTTGAAACTTATTAATTTGAATCATAATCTTTTTAAGTTATTGCGTTCTAAATTAATAATTTAATATATTCAATAAACTTTTTAAAAAAAATTACGTAAATATTTAGATCAAAGTTACTAGGTTTGGCCGAACCGGTAACGAGCAAACTGGCTCCACCCTGATCACTTTCTAAACTCACAATGAGATATATGGACTTAATTAGGCACGAAGTCATGTTGATAGAAAGAGATAGTACGGAGAATGAAGAAAAAGGTGGTGGGGGGAGAGGAGGGGGGGGAGAGATGGGGTGAGTGGGGAAAAGATAGGGTTCTCTTTTTAGTGAAAGCGACATGGTCTGAGAACCCTAGGTCAAAAGTTGCATAAGCAAGCATCTACAGGCTTCTTCACTCCCTTACTAGTAATATATAGGCTTGAGGTTTAATTCATTCAAATTGTGGTTTAATAATGGTATCCCCTCAAATGAAATAATTGTCCTTGTCGAGGTTAGACAATGTTGCGTATTAGTTTCAAACGCAGTCTCCCATTATTCTCTTCTCCTTTACAGTCGAGATTCAAAGGCAGAAAAGTAGCACGCAAGCTGTTATTAATTTACTTAATTTGATTAAGACTTTGCCAATAAAATGATGAAGTTTTTCTTGTTTTCTTTTTATTTATCGACTCTTTTTTTAAAAAATTTAATTAATAACAAAAATTAAATACAAAGGAGAGGGACATAAAACCAATACCTCCCGAGGTAAATACAAATTCCAATTAAATATCGATTCTTTTTTGATATATATATATATATATATATATATATAACATACTATACTGATGCTGTAAAAATTCTTTGCACTGTCAGCAGTGGCGAAGTCAAATTAGTCATAATTGGGTAGTCAATTGACCACCCTTTAGTAAAAAATTACACTATATATATAAATAAAATATTATATTTTAGAAGTATATAACACATATTGACTGTCGGAATTTTTTTTTTACTTGTTTCAAATTTGACCACGCTCCCAAAATTTCTAGCTTTGCTATTGAGTGCTTGTATGCATAATTTAAATTCATTTTTGAATGTGTGGAGGACAAAGAAGGGTGACTGGTCTGGGTCGTGGAAATCAGGTGGGAGAGAGAATGGTATTTGTCTCTGTGTCAGCTGATATCACGTGAAGAGCCATAATAAGAGGTCCTTCGTACCCATTCACTTCCCAAAAATACCGGCATTACTACAAATATAGTACTATCGTTTGCTTTCTCTATCCCCATCTTTGCTATTTCCTTTCCCTTTCCAACTTCTTTGCTTTAGAATTGTAAAGATGGAGGGAATTGTGTATGGTTCTTTGTATCTGTAAAATTTTTCCTCCAAACACCATGCCTGTCTTTCTCAAGCTCCAGTTGTAGCTAGCTGCATAGCTTAATGCTTAGGCACGCGCGCGCACACACACTAGAGATCTGCAATCTATGTGTATATATATATATATATATTCATAAGGCACTCACATATCAAAAACCACATAGACATTGTGTATATATAGCGAGAGCTGTCGTTCTCAAGCAGAAAAAATGATATGATTTCATCAGCATGTGGTCAACCAAATAGTTCAAGCGTAGTCTTTGCTTCCTCTTTCTAGAGCCTTATAAGGACATAGAACTTGGAAAATAAAAGACAAAGAAATTAAAACCAAATCTAGCTACTTAACCGAATGATGATGTCTCTCTCAGTAGTCTTAATTAATACTCTTGTTTTCCTTGTAGCTACAGCTTTGCTTTTGGTTAAGTAGCCAAATCAAAAGATGTTTTAACTGTGTTTTATCCGTCTTTCTCAAGATCTAGCTTAGTCCCACCACATAGCTCCCTCAAGCTACAGCTGCAAAATATATACTCTCTCTATATATATAACAAATGTATCCGCCAAGCAATAGCTGCAACTACAGCCCCATTTTCAACATCCCTTCTCCTTGTATGCAATATGGAGACGAACTATTCTTCCAATATTATCATGACGATTACCTTCAAGAGCAACAAGTACCGTTGATAGAAGATCAGAGTCTTGACATCTTAGCTGAGAGCACTGAGACTGTTACTAATAACAAAGAAACCGTCATCAATTCTGATCATAGTGTAAAAGTTTATAACATAGAAACTGTTACAAACAGTCAGGGTTTGGGAGGAAATGAAGAAAAAAGAGTAGAAGGCCGCGAAAACAAAAGAGATGATATGAGCGGCACCATTAGTATCATTCATGGACGGAAAAACAAGAAATGTTCCCATAAAGATCGACATAGCAAGATTAGCACTGCTCGTGGCCTTAGAGATCGAAGGATGAGACTTTCCCTTGATGCAGCTCGCAAGTTTTTCAGTTTACAAGACATGTTGGGGTTCGATAAGGCAAGTAAAACTGTAGAATGGTTGCTTACCAAATCGGAGTCTGAAATCGAAGAGCTAGCTAAAGGCAATAAAGAAGGAGAATCCCTTCCTAAACAAAGCTGCAGTACTACCAATGGAATTGGTGCAATTAGTACTGCAATATCCTCTATTTCTGAGTGTGAGGTTATATCAGGAACTGATGAATCTTCTTCTATTACTGATAAAAAGAAGCTGGAAACTGCTAAAGGACCGTTGAAAAAGAAGGGTAAAACTGCTCGTAGAGCTACATTTGATCCTCTTATTACAAGGGAATCGAGGAATCAAGCAAGGGTTAGGGCTAGAGAGCGAACAAAACTAAAGAAAAGCCTTAGTAAATCCAAAGCCATGACTCATGAGAACAGTGCTGATGACTGTAATTTGGTGGTTAATTTTGGAGATTGGAGTCAATTTAGCATCTTCAACTATCAGCAAAATGCAGTTGGAATTTCCCATGATCAGGTTGGTTCAATAATTAAACAACATGATTAATATAGTTAAATAGATGATTAATTGTTCGCATAATTTCACCACCAGCTTCTGATTATGTGGTTGTTGTCTTTGTTTTTTATTTATTTCTCCTACAGCAGCAATTTACAGACTTCCAATTTTGTGGTAATAAGCTGTGGGAAGTCTAGGGCAAGGAAATTTTTTCAGGCACAGAAACCTTCTTCAAATTTGTGCTACTCGGCCAGAAGAACGTTGTTTGATTCTCTGTTTGGTAATGTAAAATAATTTGTACTTCATTTGTTCTCTTTGTGAAAATCTCTCTAGTCTGTACATAGCGCTATGTCTTTTTATTTTAATTGTTAATAAAACCACCACATAGTATTGATGGAGCTTAGCTTATTGAAACAAAGATCAATATATAAAAAACGTTGTAAAACATTAGGCCAAAACCCCAAGGGGTCAAATTTAATTTGGAAGAAATGAGAGAAACTCAATTTTTTATAGTCTAGCCATTCCTAAGGGCTTTTGTATATATAGATGGAATGGAACATATCCTTGATCCTCCCTAGGTTTGAATCAGTGTGCAGATATAACAATTTTGCGATTCTCATTTTCCATAAGCAGTACGACTCACAGATCCTTTATTCTTGATAAAATAAATAATTTTAATCATGTAAAACATAGATATGTGCACAATGGAATAAATAATGTCAATCTGGCATGATGATGATAATGTCGATATCTCCGACCCCATCTTTGTTTGAGTTTGAGGTGTAGTTGTTGATGCACAATATTACTTTGTTCACTCTTTAAGCATTTGTAGTTATGCAATTTTGTGTATGCACTAGGTCTATGAAGTTTATAAAAAGAAGTAAAAATATTTGTCTATTTGTCTTGTGTTTGTGTTGGTGTACTCTCATTTTCGTGCGATACATTTTTCAATAGCTATGGTTTAACAGAACTGTTATATGCATATTCCTGGCCACAAATTTTCGAAACACAACCTACTAATTCATTTTCTTTGTTTTAGGTCCAATTTAACGTGCTGGGTAAAACCTAGCTAATTCGAAAAGTTTATAAGACATGCATTTAATCCTGAACAAATCTGGACCACTTAAAGGGGCAAAGAAACTAATGTAGGAGCTTAAATGATCATTACTGATATCAAAATAGTAGCTTGAATTTATGGTTTTGATATGATGCTAATCAGGAAGATTTTGTATCATCATCAGTTGTTTTTGCCCTTCAAATGGCATATCAAAACACCAGAAAAGGTGGCAGATCTTATACAGCTGCTAGTATTGCTTAGTTTCTTTACTCCTTATGACTAAATTCACTTGCTCTAGTTCGTGCAAACTGTAAATGATTACCCCTATATCCAGCAATTAAACTTTTAATTAGTGAAAGGACAATTTCGATTTGGTCAATCTAATTAATGTGGGATTAAGGGTCATGAATATGGCAGCCTTTTGTCTACCACTTCATTTCAATCAGTCCTTCTACTGATTTAATGTATTAAGCCTAGCTAGGATGAATGCTAGGCTAAACCAACCCAAAAGTATGCTTAGCAAAGTGTGATATTGTTCGCTTTGGGTCAACTCATACATTTTTTCCTAAAAGGTCTCACATCATTAAGAGATCTCTACACCTTATATGTAGGCTTCCAATCTTTTTAACTACCAATGTGGTACTTCGTTCGCACAACCAACAATTTTCCCTTCAACTAAGTTTCACGTGACCTACCTTCAAGATTCACTGTGTTCCACCTACGTATACATAGCCAGAGTATTAATGGCAATTGAAGCCTGCAACTAGCTTCTTCTTGTGTATGAGTCTCCTAGCTCATAAGGGTAAGAAACCGAGCCCCGTACCATCACTCAGTCATCACTATACTCATTCTGTCAAACCTAGGCTTTAATACCAGTTGTTGAGCTAAACCAATTCAAAGATACTCTTAACATAGTGTGATATTAATTTTCCGCTTTGAGCCAAGCCCTAACGGCTTTTCCCAAAAGGCCGCACACTATTAAGAAATGATACACCTTATATGTAGGCTCCCAATCTTTTCTGCAACCAATATGAGACTTTATTCGCATACCCAACACAAATATATAAACGTCCTTGTTCTACTTGAGCATTTCTCAGCTAGCATTACTTTCTGAAATTAGTGAAAACTTGACAGAAGGTAACCAAATTCCTCCCTTTTACAATAAGTTGCTTCCGAAGGTCGAAAAGTGGATAATGTTTGTTATATTGAGGATGATTTACGAGGTTTACATTCGTAGTATTTGGTATTGTTTGCAAAATGTGATATTGTTTGCTTTATGTCAAGTCCGTACGTTTTTTTCTAAAAGATTTTGTACCATTAAGAGATCCTTACGTCTTATATGTAGGCTCCTAATATTTTCAGAGATCAACGTGAGACTTTATTTGTACACTCAATAGCCTCCCCCTCGAGCTAAGTTCCACGTGGCTCATCATCACTACGATCCACGGGTCTCCCCTTCGTCTCCAAGCTCGTAAAGGAAAGTAAACCGAGCTCGCCACCATCACTCAGTCATCACAATATTCGTCGTGCCGAACTTGGGCTTTAATACAAATTGTTGGGCTAAATCATTCCAAAAATATTCTTAATATAGTGTGATATTGTCCGCTTTAAGTCTAGCCCGCACGATTTTTCTCAAAAGGTAGCACAATATTAAAAAATCTCTAACCTTATACGTAGGCCCCTTATCTTTTCTGGTACCAATACGAGACTTTGTAAGCGCACACAACACATAGAGATATAAACGGTCCTTGTTCTACTCTGAGCATTTCTGAGGTAGCATTACTTTCTGATATAAACGGTCCTTGTTGACAGAAGGTAACAAAATTCCTCCCTTTGCAATAATTTGCTTCCGAAGGTCGAAAAGTGGATAATGTTTGTTATATTGAGGATGATTTACGAGGTTTACATTCGTAGTATTTGATAATCTTACTGAGGAGTCACATCTGAGTGACACCAGTGTCCTACCTAATACAGAGTAATCAAAATGAAAAGATGTTGCTATTGTCAACACATTAATCGTTTAACCACTTCATGATGTTTCAAATATATGTATTTAATTTGAAACATGACTGTATTTTCATATTTTCTTCTTAATATTTTCATATGTTCAAAGATATATTAGTAAAAATAGCACGGTATAACCAGTTTTCGGACTGGTCTTTCAAAAATAGCCAGCGTTTACGAAGTCAATAAAAAATAGCCACTATTTTGCTGCAACAGAGACCGGTCCAGCATAATATACTGGAGTTCCAGCAAGTACAATTATCCAGTATAATATACTAGAGACTGGAGCACCGGTGCTCCAAACTCCAGTATATTATACTGGATAATTGTACTTGCTGGAACTCCAGTATATTATGCTGGAATTCTAGTGTACTTATGCTGGAACTCCATCATATTATGCTGGAGTTCCAGCATACTTATCCTGGAACTCCAGTATAAAGCATACTTATGCTAGAACTCCAGTATAATATACTAACGTATTTTCCGGGTTTTGAACAGTGTTTTCGGTCAAATTTATCTTTACATGAAAAGTGGCTAAATTTCGATTATTTTTGAAACTAGGCTATTTTTGAACGATCAGTTGTAAATCTGGCTATTTTTGAATTTCTCCCGATATATTACGCAACCATAAAATTCAGGAAGAAAAATCAGAAATAGCCGGATTTATTGAAGAATCGCCACAATTTCAAAAGTAATTGAAATTTAGCCCCTTTTTCATGAAAAAATAAAATCTGAACGAAAAACCCTTAAAAATCCGGAAAATCCCAGCCTAATACGCTGGAGTTCGATTTTTTTTCATATGAGATTCCAACATAATGTGCTGGAGTTCCAACATAATATGGTAGAAGTTTATACGTAGGAACTCCATAATCCAACGTATTATGCTGGGCCTTTCCGTGTGCTGGAGTTCCAACATAATATGCTGGAAGTTTTTATGCAAGAGCTCCATAATCCAGCATATTAATTATGCTGTAATTTTCCGTGTTTAAGCAAAAATAGTGGCTATTTTTTAATGACTTTACAAATACTAACTATTTTTTAATTACAGTTCGAAAACTGGCTAGTCCGTGCTATTTTCACATATAATTCCCATAGTAATTGGGGAAAACCATCGAGTCAGGGCCCTCGATCAGCTACATTATAATTAGCTTAGCTTAAGACATGTTGATGTAGGTGAAATTAAAGTTATATTCTGATATAGAAATATCAGAATTAAAGTTGACATATATTCGTATTATGTTGACATATAATTAAAGTCATTTTTCCTTTCGAGTCATTCCGTTTAGATAGATTATGAATTATATTTCTGAAAATTTTTAGTGCTAATTTTGTATTGAAAACAGGCGTTGAAACCTTGTTGTCGGTCTTTCTCCAAGTCAATTTGTTTAGAGAATCATTAAAGCTTGAATGGGAGTGATGAAAAAGAAAGGAGAAAAGTAATGGGCAGGTTAAATGAACCAAGAAGAATAGTACAAAAGTGGGGAGCAAGAAATGAAAATATCCACACAGGTCTCAAATTATTATCCTCTTTCTCTATCCAGCAATTTTTAGTTTTTAATTATTTCTCTTGAAAATATATAAGAAAGCATATGTCTATATATATACACACTAGTTTCTATGGATATACGTTGCACGTAAATTTTTAATTAATTATTTATATAGTACAACAAATTAAATCTTTATAGTACTATATACAAGTAGAATGATTGACAACCTATATCTTGTTTATTTGCTTGGCATATTCATTTCTATTAGCTAAGATAACTTTTCAATCATATAATATATTTTGAATAACTTATACATTTATTTAATAACAAAAATATATCTTTTATTAAGCAATTTTCAATACAACTATTACCCTCGGGCATGAAACCAATTGATCTAGAGAAGGACCAAGTCATCTCTAATTGTATGTTCATATCAATTTGAAGGCCTAAATTCATTATATGTTGAATTTGTTCTTGCTCGCATACTTTTTTAGCCGTTTATTTAATATTATAAATTTGATTTTACCAAGATAGCATTTAGATCTATATTCTCAGCAATTTTGAAATTAATGGTAGTACTCACGGAAAAATCACCTTGAGAAATTATGTTTTTCGGTTGAATGGTTCATCGGCGTACATTTATATTTAGAAAGCTCATGACAACTATTTTGATCATGTGACGCTTTACTACTGGTGCTTCACCCCAAATTATTAATTTGATTATCTTGTCAATTTAGTATCATCACTCTGCTTTTACATATTTGTGAGTTATTAAAAAGATTTATCAAATCTTGAGTGAGTCGTACAAATCCTGATAAAACTGCTATTATTAAATTACTTGTTGAT